CAGCAGTGGAAATGTTTTCCTTGTATATAAGGCAACTCCGGTCACACAAGCCAAGTAAATATTGATTTTACTATAGCTGAGCTGGGAGCAGAAGTTAATTTCAACAGTCTGCACAGAATGTTTTACGAATTGCTTTAAAAATATTTTGCATTACAAGGTATTAAACCAGCTAAGAACCTTTTAAAATAATCTGAAGCTTAAAATGATTGAGCTGTGCAATTTTTTCAGGGTAGAAAGTACAGCTGAGAGAAAGAAACAGTATTAAAGGCTGCACATCAGCAGCTCATAAAGCCAAGCAGGATGCTTTCTCTCAATCCAGGGCAGGCAGTCCTGAAGCCCTGATGTTGGGGGACAGCTCAAGGCAGCCTCACAACAGCACTGGGCTAGAACCAGTCACCAGCACAAGAGGGAATGGGCAGGGATAGGACCTGTGTACTCCAAGTTGGCATATCATACCACAGGCCTTAATTTGGAGTTAATCACACCCAGGACAGTTAACCCTGAGCAACATCGTATCTCAAAGAGGAACTGTGTCATACCTACGGTACAAAATCCACACTGCAGTGAAATTCAGCAAGACAGATACAACCACTCTGCTTCCACCTGCACAAAGGATCCAGAACACTGTTCACTGTCAATTATTAGTGAGGGCTGCCAGTGCACACTTGTGTGACAGCTTTGATTCGGGCAAGACAAGGACAAAGCTGTTGACTGTCACCATGCACCGCATGGAACTCAGAGAGCACATTGCTCGATTTCTGCAGAGAACCCTCGAACCATTTCTGAAGACTTCGACAGAAATTCCTCTCCGCATGTAACAAGTGTCAGAGTAAAGGCATCTGCTTGCCCTGCAGCGCAAGCCCGGCTTTCACCCGCTGGAAGGCTCAGCCAGGGAATTACCACAATTCGCTTTCTCAGCTGCTCGCCCAGCGAAGATCAGGGCGCGCTCCACCCAGACGCCACACAAATGAGGTCACATAGCTGACCACACTGCTGCCAATTCCTGCCCTATTCATCAGGGCAGGAAGCAGATGGAGCCCTCAAGTTAAGGGTCGCAACATTTCAGTGAGAACATTAAAGTGCAGCAGCGGCAGACAATTCACCGGTGCGGCAGAGCTGAGTCACGGGCACCGCTCTGTCCCACACAGGGCACAGGCTGCGGCCAGCAGCCAAACACTCCCCCCATACAGCTTCAAAAAGGGGCTCCACTACAGCACAACAGAAAATATTTTCCACTTTTTCTGTACCTACGTGCATTTAAGAGTTTAATATACCTAAGAGTTTTATAAAGTCATTCAGATCTTGAAAATAAGTTCACTTGAAGACCCAAAAGGCAGTGTGATGTAATTACTACGTAAACCTGTTTCTATTTACAACCATGCTGTATTTCAGAACACATATTTCACCTGCTGCCAAAAAGGAAATATACCATTTCACATGTTTACAAGCTAGAGTTGTTTGAAATCAAACAGATTTGAGGTCCAACACAGCTCTACTAAAGAACTAACAAGATCAGAGTTTACAGAGTTATGAACAACACCATAAATATTAGTTTGACTACAGGAACAGCTTGTGTGTGGTCTCAATTTCAAGCTGCTATCAGTGCATATATCTTGTGGGAACACAGACAAATACCTTCCTACCTGAAAGAAAACTTATTGTTCTGAGATTTCCAGAGACGCAAATGGTAACAGAAGCTAAATGCAGAGTTTCAGAAGATATGCTCTCAAACTATCTATCTGTTTGCAAAATACCTCAGTCAAGTCATTGCCATTGCCTTCAACTGCTATTGAAAAGTAACACTCATTTCAATCGCTGGGATGGTGGCTGCACAATTAATTCACACAACAAAATGTAAATTGATCTCTTGCTTCTGTTTATAACTGTATGAATATAATGACAAAACAATATCTAGTCACATAATGCTAAGACGCTGACATAGACTATCCAATTACTGCAGAGGAGTAAAGGAAGAGCCTTTACTGGCTTCAGGAGTTGACATTTTACAGAAAAAGTTCTGTGAGGCAACCCCTTTCAGCAAGTGTAATAGAACCAGCATCTTTTTCTGGTTCTGTAACACAGGTTAAGTAGCCTCCCCTCCAACAACAGGGTGATTTCCATCTGGGTAATGAGGCAATTGAGATGAAAAAAATATTTTATTAAATAATCACATCAAATAGTGCCACAACAGTAGAGTATGTGCATGTAAACACAAAACAGCCCAATCATTTTCCTGGAACAGTTTCAGAAATTTTACTAGAAGAACAAATTATCTCCCATGGCATGGAACAGCAATGAAGAAAGCCCTTTTGTTCAAACAGGCAAAGAAAGTACAAGATCCCTTCTTTTTTTCTCCTCTTAGATAAAGAGTAAGCTTTGGTTCCAGTTCGGCACCAGTAGCCTACCAGTGCCACCACACTCGTGGTGCCTGTCACCAACTTGAGAGTTTAAGAGGCTATTAAGAGATTGGACTGTTATAAAAAAAAGTCATCCCACCAGATGAGCTAAATTATTTGGAATGTTTTAGACCATAAATCAATCTATCTCTGACAAAACTTAGTTGAGCTGTTTAGGCTTCAGAGAACAGAAGTTAAGTCATAACCACTTTAGTTTCAGCCAAACTAACTCATTTACAATTGGATACTTGATCAGGTATGAGCTTCAACCTCCCTTCCTCCAGTCCCTGCCAATTTTCACAGCAAGCACACAACCAGAAAAGCCAAAGCCACACCTCTGCTGACTGAAAAGCGTCCCTGTTATTTATATTCTAGATTTCTGTAAAAAGCAAAGGACATGAAGAAACAATTACATACACACCCCTTCCAACTTCTCCACCCATTTTTTCCCTGAGTATTTCCAGTACTGCATCATTAAAAATCCTGTCCTGTCAGAGAATGGACTCTCCACCATAGCACACACACACAATTTATTTCACACTCAGGTTTTTCCAGCATTTTCCCTTCCACGCCTCTTACCTTCTAGCTTTTCTTCAGATTTTTTTTCCCTCCTATGTGCATTTCCAACACACTAAGAAGTGGTCAAAGCCACAATTCTCTCACAGTCTCCAAATACAGAGTTTTCAAAAAGTGAGATGACAATGAGTGTGAGACTATGACTCTCTTGAAAAGCAAGTGTACAGTGCTGCACTTTATGAACAGTTATGAAGATTATAATTAAACTAATTTCTTTTTAAAATACTGCTGCTTAAGAAAAATTATAACTTCAATTTATCAGCCCTGATCTACGTTCTTTTAAAAACTAAGGGTTCAACTCAGCTTTAAACAGGCTTTAAGAAACAATCAGTAAACACTGTGCTCAATCACGTAAAGCACCTGAGCAGCATGTAGCTGCTACTCACCCAGGAGGTTTACACCTTAGCCTGGCCATCTGGAACAAGCATCAGAAAAATCATCCATAGACACACAAACATCAGCAAATATTAAGCATGGGCACTTACATGTTAAAAAGACCTGAAGGATTGAGATATAAAACCTCAGAGAGATTGACCCTCCTATTATCCCACAGACAAACATTCAGAGGTTTCACGACTGAAGTGTTCATCAGTTAACTACATGGCTGGTTATTACTCCTGTCCCAAGTTTATGCTCCTCTAAAAATATGACAAAAAAAGAAGAAAGGAAAAAAACCCCAAGAAATAGCCCAAAAAACCTACACCAATACACGCAGAGCCAGAACAAACAACTTCCATGAACAGCAGCTGAGTTTAAAACCAAGCAGATTGATTTTCTCCTACTGCTAACCTTCCAAGAATGATCAACTGCAGATGTCTCACATTTGAGGGCTGAATACGTGCAGATTTTGAAGAACACTATATCTCTCCAACCTATAATTTACTGAGCTCTCTAGAGTCAGTCAAAAGCAACTCTGCTCATATTACTGAGTTTCTTAACATTTCTGTCAGTTTCTTAAGGAAGTTTGGACTGAGCCACAAAGGAAAAGTTTCTGCTCTCAACTAAACTGGCATATATCCAAATCCACCTCATTGTTCTAGAAGCAAACATACATGAAATCAGAATCCCAGCCCATCATTTTATTCTAAATTTAGCCATTACATTGATACGTCTTCAGAGGATTTTAGTTTCTCTTTCTAAAAACCCATCTTCAGACTCCAGCTTTGTAACAAAAAATCTACCTCAAAAGTCAAGTGGACCAAATTCTTTTTTGATCAACACATTCTGCTTTCTCAAAGTTCTGACACCAATTTACAAAATAAACAGTTTCTATCTGTCAATTACTGTATCTACATAGTATATTCATAGGTACCAGGAATAATCAAATTGTCTTTTCCTTACCAATCTGTGTAATTTGGCCCCAGTCAAAAAACAGATGAGACAACCCTTGAAATTTCAATCAGAATAGGTATGAAAGATGGCAAAAGGAATAGGAAAGAATAATATCACAAAAGTCTTCTTTTGGAAGCATCCCTCCACAAAACATTCTTTCCAGATTACAGGAAATACAGCTGTCTTGAGATACCACCAAAATGAGGAGAAAAACTTGTGGGGTGTCAAGGAGCTGCTGTAAGTTTATACATTAAAAAGCAGCAAAAGGCACACTAGGCATAACTGTAAAGAAGCAAAACAAACGCTGAAATCACCAAAATTTAATGCATAGTTTAAGAAAATTAGGGACATGAAGACTTTCAATCAGACAGAACAGTGCTAAAATTTCTGCCATGAACAAGTTACTGTTCCAGGTGAAAGGGAAGCCCACAACACAAGCATTACCAAGAGAATCTTATGTCAGCAGGTGTGTCACAGCCAGAGCTCACACAACACTTGCAACGGAGCAGCACCACAGAAAACAGCCTTTCCCCGCTCTGTTTCCTGCCATGCCTTCCACGACCTGCTCTGCTAGTGTAAATAAACTTTTGCAGAGTTAAGAAAAGCAGCTCTCATCAGGTGTAGAAGATAAAAACAGACCCACAAGCCTGGATCCTTTCATCTACTACAGCCTTCAGAACGTAGGGAAGCACTCACCCAGCGGAGCGTAACAGGTCTGCGGGTCAGTATGCCGAGGTGCAGCAACCTTGTACTCTTTCCACACAGCTTTCCTGGCTGTTTGAACACTCATGATCAAGCTCAGTTTTTGAATAACAGGAAAGTGAAGATGGAGAGGAAGTACACGCTAGTACCCACGCAAGAACTGCATGCTGGGATTCAAGGGGGAGGGAAGCGCTGGTTTTCCTCTGAGGGTTTGACACATTCAGCCACACAGTGACTGACAAAACCAGTCAGGAAACAAACCTTTAAAAAGGCTGCACGTTAGCAAATAACAGACTTCAAGCTACTCTTTATGAAAACAGGAGGACACTCCAGCTTTCAGAGAACTGGTGAGTTAAATTCTATAAACTGAAAAAAGGAAAGCTGATGGTAATTTTCCTTTTCTGCTCAAATCAAAATCTCTGGTCAAACACCATACTCATTTTAAAAATCCTAAATATTTTTAGTATTCATTCTGTAAAAAGTTTGCATTATCACTATAACACTTTTTTCACATAGTCAACACAACATACAATCAGAACAACTCTTCAAATTAAGCAATCACATCTTTTAATGGCCTTTCAAAAGAGTACAAGAAATTTTAAACGTAAGATTATAGCACATAAAGGAAGCTGTACAAATAAACATCCAAGTCAAAAATTACAAACTCCGATTAGACATGCCCTCTCCACTGTGCAGGAATTTCAAACAAGACACAGTAAGGAACGGTAAAGCAGAAAATTGGCAACGCAGGGCTATGATAAAATGAGAGCTATTTTCAAGAGGGCCTTTAAACTGTGCTTACCATCAGTACAAAAAGCAAACTGAATCCCCCTGTCTTCAAAAGCCTGTTGCCAACTTTATAACCAAATCAAGAGGAGTTCAAATACTGTAGTTATGAAAGACACTCCATATCCCACACCTTCGGATACTGAACTGGACAGAATTCCAATAGTCACAACAAAGTAATGCAGGAAGAGATTAACTAGAACACGTAAGTACAGGCACTATGACCAGAGAGGAGCGTTCTAAACCACAGATTTGGTTTCAAAAGCAGAAAGACACAGGCTGTTTAATTTGTTCTGCCTGTCTCATTGTATCATGCTATAAGACAAATGTTCTAGATACAGCTCTCCTCTCTTCATTAAAATCCAGTCAGGACAGTTTACTGTATCACACCTCAGACACTATTCAGAAAAGGGAAAAATCAAGATCAGATTTTTCTTTAAATTTTTGTGGGCCAGAAGTTGGTCTTACTTTAATTTGTGGGTTGCATGTTTTTTCCCTAATTCAAGAATTCCTCAAAGTTGAAGGCTGAAAGGCTTCACACAAAAGGAGTTTTGTTTCCATTAATAAAGACAACCATACATTCAGGGGGCTAAATCAGACATTTGTATCCAAACATTTCTGTGAACCATGCAAACAAGACCAAAGTGGAAAGGTAATAAAAGTTTTAAAGCTAGGATTTTTATTTTAGAAACAAACAAGGATGTTTTTTGTAAATATAAATACAAACCTTACTGTGCCAAGCACTTCCCAAGCACAAAACAAAAAGACATTGCCAACTCCACCAAGCAAATGACGAGAATTAGCAGACAGACTGGCACATATGCCAGAAGTCTTACCAACAGCACCACATGTTCCTTTTTTCAAGTTTTGATGAGACTGGTCTGAATTCCCTAAGAATGCTCTCCTGTGTATCCAATACCTCACCTCAGTCCCTGCCACTCCAAGGCCCACCCACACTTGGCAAGACTGAAGAATAAGCACAAGTTTCACGGGTCAGCTAGTTTGTGACAACATTTCTGGGTTTACCACTTCCCAAATGAGGAAGTGATTGCAGTCAGTGAGAGCAGTTATAGAAACACCACTCTGACTCCATCAGTCTCTTGACTTCATTCAATGTGAAGGTATTAGTGAAGCTGAGTAAACCATTCATGCACCAGAGCTTCCAGAGAAGCTCAGCCCTCAAGCTCTGCCTGACATCAGCAGCTGTCCCATGAACATCAGAGAAACCGCTTTTATCAAACAGCAGGTTTTACCTCAAAAATCCAACATTTCAACAAGAATATACACTGAGAATATGTATTAACTTAAGGGGGACAGGGGTGAGGAGGTGGGGCATTGTTACACTATGTTTAAATTTAAAAAACAAAAATCTCTTGCCTAAACAGAAATAGAATTACTAGCATGAAATAGTTTCATATCTGAACCCATCTGCAAAGAAGTTAGCTTTAGGGTGGAAGGAATATTTTTAAGCTAAATTTTAAAAGTGAAACCACGGCGTCTGTGAATATCTGAAGTGTTGGGTGTGAAATCCATACATTAACTGCAAGAGCAGATAAACAGAAAAGAAATGGAAATTTCTGGTCAAAGTAATCTTTGAAGGTGGCAAAGAAAGACTTTTTAAAAGTTTTTAACCTAACTCCAGAGCTCAATATACTAGTATACTCTCTACCCATAAACCACTTCATTCATTAGGAGGAAGATGGTCTTATTTCTACTACTACTGAATTCAACAGGCCATTTATTTAGTAGCTCTCTGACTGGAGTACGTGCTCTCTTCTATTCTCTCTGGTGTTGACAGCAGTAATCAAATTTTGTACATGCCACTGGCCCTATTATAGTTCCACAGCAGCTGGCTGGCTGCCTAGGCTTCTTATCATGTATGATAAAAAAGACCAGCCAAACAGACCAGCTGAAACTACTGTGGGAAGACAGAAGTAGAGGGAAGCCTAACTAGAAGCCTAGTAAGTAGAAATCATGTCTCTTTCTGCTTGCCCACATATTACAAAGCATGAAGAACAAGGCTACACTCAACACATGACAAGCTTGCTTTAACAGTTTTCCAAAGGACTGGAGCTTGGATGACAATTCAGCCCTTGTTGAAGAGTAGGTCTGAATTCTATACTTTATCTGTGAAACAATACTCATCTATAGCTTAGTTCACAGATCAGGGAGTGGGAAAGCAAAAAAACACCTAGAGGTGGGGGGGCTGGGAAAGGAAAAAAAAGAGGGGAAAACAACTCAAATAACTGTACCCATTCATTTGAAGGTGAGCTCATAAATACTTAAGATCACTTTTCTATCACAGCCTCAACACATACACCATCAGCACGGGGTTCAGAGTAAAATTAAAGTTCACAGAGGCAAACAACAATGGGAACAGAGGGCAACATCCTTTAATTATAAAACTCCCCTGTATGCAAGACAATCTATAATGAGATTGGTTTCCATTTCTTCTTTGCCTTCTGGGAGTCTTCCAAGAGCCTTGAATGCCTTGACTCTGAGAAGAGGAAACTGGCTTCTTTTTCACAGTCTGCCTCCTTCCAGCTGTGTTCCAAGTAGGCCTTGGGTAGCCCTGCTCTGAACTTCCACTCTTCCATACAAGTCCATAGAGAAAGGCTTGGGTTCATGACAGAGGAAAAAAACAAATCTAAGGGACTTCTTATGGGAGCAGAACAAGGAGGTACGAAGTTTCTCCTTCACTTCCTTTCTCCAAGGTGAGAGCCAAGCAAGCCAAGAGTTTTCCTAGAGGGGAAGCTCAGCCTTTCTCAAGGTTCCTGTGTTACCTGTCTAGTCCTACCCTTTATAATACTGCTATAATGAGCATTTAGTTAAGAGCTTCTTATGCTGTGGGATTAACACCCCATAATTTTGTTCAGGACATTTTATTCACCACAACAACCTGACAACTTTTTTTGCTGGCCTGAAACACATGATCTGAATTAGCAGGCCACACTATACTTGTTCCAGCAGGCAAACAAGAGCGTCTAAGGAGATGCTACGAAGGATGGTGGAGGGGCAACAGGAACTTGAACAGAAAGTAATGTTTCAAATGCCTCACATATTTTGATGGAAACTAGTTATTAGTTTAACCCCTACTTCCAGGAAACCCACAACACCAGCAAATTCACATGGAGAACACGGAGTTTTTAGCATTTCTACTGAAACCTTGTTTCACACAGACAGGTTCATATCAGCATAAACCTTTCTAATGAAAAGAACATTATCAATACAGTAAATGCCCTCACTACTGTGGAAGAGGAACAGAGTGTGACAGCTAGTGGAGCACTGCAGCACAGGTAACACACAGATATTCGCTCAGTGCTCTCACAGGCAGCTCCAACACAAACCTTTCCAGCACACAGCGCTTCAGGCACTTGACACATGGTTTCTTGTAAAACTGCATGTCTGTGGCTGCCACAAATAACTGACTCATCCTGCAAAAGAAATAATAGTAGCAACTGTACATAGATTGCAATGCTTTTCAAGAATCACCATAATTTTATCCTTTTTTGACATTCCTCTTACAGCTTCCTTTTTCCTTTTGTAAAAGGGAATATTTTGAATGCAAATACTGAGAAAATTTGTGGAGCACATTAATCTTCTGAAAGTGTTGTTTACATTACGATCACACCTGTAAAACCCAGCCACATCCAAACAGTGCCTGCTTTTTACAAAACATCCTGGGCCACCTGTTTACACCAATTCACAAGAGTGACAGGAGATCCCCAGGAAAAGTAGGAGTCTTCTGCATTTTGCTTCTCATTAAAAATACTGAACACACCTTTCAGAACAAGGCTCCTGCCCATTCATAAGCATCTTTATAAAACAAATCCCAATGAAAGCATGACAGATGCCCTTGTGTGCTCATATGTTGGGGTGCAGCATGCATTTCAGTAGAAGCCCTGAGCCCAAGCACAGGAGAGGGGACATTCACTTGATCTGCCCCAGCTCCTCCAACAAGCAATCCTGGTGGTTCACAGTTTTCAAAACAACTTGCCCTGTTGCAGTGGGACAGACTGGGTTCAAGCCAGCAGCCAAGCAGCTGTAAGAGCTGCTGGTAACCAACTCTACCCAGGACAGGCATCTGCCCTCAGCACACCCCACAGCACCAGGGACTGCTGCAGAAAAAGGCATGGCTTCCAAAACACATCTCATTCCTCTGTCCTTCATATGTCAGAACACAATCCAAAGCCTTGGAAGGAATGGTTTAAGCAAGCATACAAATAATTTACTTGTAAACTTTCCTGTCACTCATTCTGTAAATATCTGTTTGTACCTCCCAGAAAATAAACATCTCAAAGCTCCCTTGTAAAT